TATGTTTATCATACGAAGACTGACGACAGGATTTTAAGCGCCCCTTCTCTATTATCTTTTTTAAAGAACACGTCACTCAGGGGCAAGTGAGTTTTCAACTTAGCGATGGTCGACAGTCCATATGCTATGCTCATAGCCTTGTTTCAAGGCTTGATGAATTAGATTGTTGTCGCCAGCAACACTGGAAGCTACCCTTCGACATGGCTGAATTTCGGCATCGGGACCAATGCTTTTATTTTAATACATCCTCGCTATATTTACGTTTTTTTTCTCAACATCAATAATCGTGAATCATATTTTTTATTTTTATAAACTTGAACAAATCTTTGTGGAGCACAGGGCTTTTTTAGAGGAAAAAGATCAGATTATTTAAAATGCTTTTTCAAGCCTCAATTTCTCCTTCAGTCTTCATTACATAAAGTAAATAAAGATTTCTCAATACCTTAGTAATCATACAGAGCGGAATGACTTGCTGAATACATTTTAATAATTACGATCGATGGTAATTAAAAAAATTCTCTTTACTTCTATATCAGATTCCTAATAATTTTGCTCTTACTATCTGCATTTTGTTTTCCTTATTCAGGTTTTTTTTCCTCTACCACTTCGCCTTCTACGCCTACCACTACCGCTTCAATGGGCAGTATTGTAACTTGGTTCTCTTCGTATCTTTCCTCTTCATGCAACACTCAATGCTATACTTTTTCCATCATTTCGAATTACCCTATCTGCTTAATGGACTCGACATGCGTGTCGACGATCTGATGGCTGGTCCAATCGAGATCCACTTTCATCAACCGCCACCAGTTTCACCTCCATCTACACAACCATTGATTAGTTTTTCAACCCTCCTGGCCAATCAGGTTCCTTCGCTTTTTCCTCCCTCTTCGTCTGAATCCACCTCGGATAGAGTGGCCCCAGAACATGATGCCACTACTTCTGTGACGGTCACTGCAAACTTAATTGCTAATCCTTCACCTGACCTTGGGGAAATTGATGTCTCAAATTTAATTTCCTCTGATGTCCAAACAGACATTTATAGTTCTCCCGAGATAAGCTCTACTCCAAGGCATACAGAATCGGGAATTGAAGAGCTTGTCGAGCCTTGTACAGCTGAAACTAGGCCTAGCCAAGATGAATGTCAATTGCCCCTGTTGAGCAGGTAAATCTTTCTCACTTAAGTTAATTAAATTGGATTTTTCCAAGTGGTAATTATTTACCACTTTATTAATATCCTTACAATGGGTGACAAATTTTTTATAAAAAAGTTTCTTACGTAAAGTGTTTTACTCATTTTCTTTTTTTTCCTAGCCGCTAACTAACCACGTGGCACGAATCTATCCAAATATCTAATGATACTTCCATTGATCGTTTCGACCCCTATGTTTCTAAAATGAGTCATTACTTCTTTTGCTTTCGATTCTTATCTTCTATCGTCCTTGATTGACTTTTGTTAGTACGTTGATCTTCAAAACTTAGCCTATATCACCCCATATTATATGGCAGGGTCTATAACACTTGGCTATTATTTCGAAGATTCTCCTTGGTGCCGGTATCCTAGTACCCTTTCTCGTTCATCCAATCTTCTTCATATATTGCAACTAAGCTTTAGTCTTTTATATCTATTTTTGCCCTTACTCTGTTTTCACAAACCTTTCCTCAAATCAATTCTATTACATATTTTATCAATCAGCCTCGTTAGCTCATTTTGGTTGTTGCTTCCTCATTCCCTCTCTTATTTTGTTACTCGCTATTAACGACTTGGAGAAAGATTAGATAAGGCATCATGTTTGAAACTCCAACCGTCTACATTCATATCCTTTTCAAAATACTTTAATTTCTTTTGATTTTCTTGAGAAAAGATTTTTAAAGTACTGTTAATGTTTGCTCACTCTTCTACTCATATTTGATTGTAAATTGAAGATAATAACATTACTCTACTCTTTTACTCTCTTTTGAATGTGCTTAGTAAATGTTATCTTTTATTGTCAACGATATTCTCTACATCTTCTTACATAATCTGCTTCAATTTTTTTCAGTAGCTACCTTTCTCTGCAAATATTTTCCCTTCTGCCCTTTGGTCACCAGACAAACGATCGTCTAGTATCTAAATAATTTTTGGGGCGATTTTGGTTTTTCCCATTCTATTTTATTACTCATTATGTCCAGGCTACTGCCTTGAAATAGAGCTTTATTTTGGAATCTTACTGTGGTCATGGTCTTGCTTATTCTCTTCCTTTATTTTCTCTTCATCATCTTCCTCTATCTCAGATTGTGCTATTCTCTTCATTCGTTTAGGAAAGACATAGACTAGCTTTCACATTAATATAAAGCTGTGTCTGATTCTCAAAACCAAGACTTGGTAACTTGTATTCTAATAATTTCCATTTTTCTCTAGAAAATCGACATCTTGCTTGTCGCCAATTTTACCTCATTCATCAGACCTTTGACTTAACTTCAAATTATTATGTACATATATATGTATCATTATTACAGTGGAACATAATGTGACACTAGTATATAGTATCTCGCAATTATAGTATACACACTAGTTGACTCCAATAATTTCAATAATACAAGATTAGTGGAAAGTATACCTGACAATATTGAATACTTATTCAACTCATGATCGAGAACGTTCCTGTTGACCATATTAAGTATTCTTATTTCAACTATATTTTCCCTTAAAGCCAGTCGGATGAAATACTTCGTTTGTTTATCAAAGACCATTTATGAAAATTTTCGATGTAAGTGTATTACGAATGATCGATGATAAAAAAAGAACAATTACAACTTATATGCATTTTAAGACGAAATCACCTCCTCCACATCCTCATTTCAAGTATGCTTAAAGCCTAATTTGTGTATACTTATATAGATTTTCATCCACTTGCTTTGAATATTTGGGATAAGCAAAGTGAACCTGTTTATTTTTAGTTTTTTCATAAAGCCAGTTAGGTTTTGTCTCAATTCACTGCCAATGCTAAGGATTTGCTTCTTTAGAAAAAAAGCGACAATATAAGTACTAAGACTAGGTGTTATTCTTGTGCTTTACACTCAGGAACAATCATTGAAAGTGCACAAAGAAGGGGAAAGCAATCTTGGGACTTTATAGAATGAGGAAAGATTAGGTGACATGTTGTTTACTTAATAGGCTACATCCTGGAAATAGGAGTATCTCAGACCAAATAAAAGAGCTAAGCTTTGTTCAAGTTAATCCATCGATGGAGAATCCCGAGTCTAGATACTTTGTAAAAAAAGCCAGTGGGCAGCAGAGGGTAACGTATACAATTGTCGAATTCATATCTGGTGAATGGGCGAGAATTTGGAATTCGATTAAAGACTCGAATTTAAGAATTGAGCTTGTGCCTTACGGATTTATTAAGAATACTGCCACTCAATTTGGTGAGGACAGGATAAGAGTAATGACTCGTAGCTGTTTAAAAATATGTCCTTTATGCTGTTCTATATCCATACCCCGCACTCTGAGGATAGCCCAAATATATTTCGTAATAATTCAAGATGGTTGTTTTCGAAACAATCTAGTCGACGACCATAAAATCTTGAAGAAAAATCGTTGCAGATCAAATGTTCCATGCTTACTTTGCCTTGAGAAGGGTTTTATTTTGCGCATGCTGAAAAATTACAATATCAATTACGGCCTCATTTCTATATCACGAATGTCGCGAATTTACACTGGGTCCAAATGGATGCCTTTATGGCAAATGAGGTGTGGTATTGACGTGCTCTAATCATGAGACCAAAGACACTTCCAAGGAAGTCCCAGAATAAATATTAACGCTTCCATTTTGTTACACATCTTTAGAATGCTGACAAGTTCTGGTCGACCAAACATTTTGATAGCTATTCTGACACCTTGAGATGCGTTGGCCTATGGTACAAGAGACTCCTTTTTTCTGGAAGTTTTTAATCAAAATGAATTAACTTCATTTTGGAATATTTCAGCCAAATCTATATGATAAATCTGTCGAAGGCTCTAAATTGTATTTTTAAAAGCTCTAATTAAAACTGGACTGAATTTTTGTATACTTTTCGAGGTTGCTATCATTTAGACTTTTTTCTGAGTTAGAACCTGAACTTTCACAAGAATCTTAACCTTTCACTCGTTTTTCGTTGCAAGGCTATTTGATCTATATAGGCAATTTGACAAATTGCAAACAGTTGAGGTCTTATAATTCAGCTGCCTACCGTTCATCGACAATTTACTTGAGCCAAGGTGATTAATTTTTAATCTTACTTTTGAGTGCCTTATGATCTACGATCTATCTATCTACGATCTTATTTTAGTCATTTCAATAGTCGAATGGCTCAATCGTAGATTTGCGCCTATTTAGTTTGGCTTTTAGCATATATTTATAAGAAAGAATTGCCTATATATCCTGCCTTTGAATAATTATTTGTAAAGAGCTTTGTAATCATGCCTCGACATTGGGTTCGTAATAGGAATATGATAAATATCAAACTATAATACTTGACTTAAATTCCCCCGACGCATCATATCCTATTTTTTCCACTTGCCTACCTCAAACTTTGGATTGTTGAACAATGCATTAGTCAAAGCTATATTTGCACACAGTCTCACTGGATAGAATTAGGTCTGGGTGGTTTATCAGCGATGTTCTTTGCTCTGGGACCCCTTTTGGGGATCGCTAGGCCTGTTCAGCCTAAGTGGCATCTATCACTTCCTGTGATACACGAAAGAGAAAAATTCTTCAGCGTAGGCAAGTTCTTTCCTCGAATTTATTATGACTAGACCAACCTACAAGTCTGTAAACCGCCAAATGACCTTTATTATTAAACGATATTCGACAACAATCATACCTTAAGGCGCATTCTGAACCAGAATTAAGTAAAAATCTAGATTCCCTTAGGCCTTATCGGCACCTCAAACTGCACCTGAAACCAGAAAAGATTCATTGGCATGAGTCAAGAAACGAATCCGTAGTGAGTTGCCTACAGGACAGAGATCCCTTAAGACAATCAAGCCTATCTCAAATCACGTTACTAGTTAGATATAGAAAGGGACAAAAATTCTTTAACAGACTCGAGTGACTCAATTCCAGGTTTTAACATAACGTGAGAGATTTTGGTTAAGATTTTATTCACTTTAGGTCGCATGTGATGAAGAAATGCTATTTTAATTTTTCCACAATGCTATCAGTAGGCCTTACGATACAGTGGGTATTTTCACCCACTGTAGATTACTGTTTTGACCTTGTCATTTTCGACCCTTGACTGGATTCAATATGCTATCACTACGCCATACAGCCACGGGCGCCAGTTAGTTACAGAGCATATTTGAATTTTAAGGCAGACATCTTCCATATCAGAATTATTATGCTAATGTCGATGGGCAACCTTGTATTTGTCATTAAAATCGACTAAGTTAATTGTGGTCATATTGAATAGGTTCTGTTACAACCGTTATTTCTTGTTTCAATATAATAATTATGCAGAGAAAGGCTCGATTGCCTCTGAAGTCACATCTAGCTGGTGACCCACTGACATCCATTGCAGTGTCAGGTAGTGGTAACGTGCTCGATGTCCTTCTTTGTTTGAGTTTACAAATTAATTTTTTTAGCCAAAATCTATTCACGAGATGTAACTTCAGTTTAGTCTCGGTTCCATCCTTTAACCAGTGCCTGAAAACTTAGCTAAGATGAATGCGAACGCTTTGGATATGTACCGAATCCAGCATAAAGATTTATACTTTATGGAAATTGACATCCAACCGGAATATGGACGCAAGTTTCCGATAGATAGCTCAGAATTTGAGTGGCAAAGTCGATCATTTTTTGATCGAGTATTCCTAAACTGTCTCTGTGCTTAATTGTGTAGAGGTCGGAACAGCTTGTGACCTTTGCAAACGAAACTTGAAGTCCCCAATTATGATCTAAAGCTGACTAAGATAGCATTGTAAATTTTGAGGCGTCTGGCATAGGCTGGAAGATTTATTTAGTCTGTTCAAATGGTCCATATCTTCAGTTTATATTGAATAGATCGCAGGATTTAGTAACCTTTTTTATACTACTTACGCTCAGAACTTTCGCTTCCGAATAACTTAACTGTAGCGCCGTTATTATTTGTACTTACGTCGGTTAGGTTTCTTCTGGTTACGTCTCTCTGTGCTGAGGACAGGGAGCTGCAACAAATTTTTTACCGAGACGAATTCTTCTGTGCACAACACGTGAGGGTACAGATTATCTTGTTTTATTTTGCATTTATCACATTAAGTGCTCTGGGAAATGATGCCCATTTATGATTGCTCCACTTTTTTGGGGTTGCTTTATGTAATAA